TTTACCTCTTTTTTATTGCATATTAACAAATTTTAGTAGCCAGGTATTTTTCCTACTCATTCATTTAACCTTTATACTATAATTAAATAGTTAAACCACCATCCTACTACAGAGTTATAGTTTCCTGACTGCATATTTCTCATCTTTACCAGCATATTGTTTAATTTTGTATGTATTCATGTGATTTATTAGCCTGTTTTCATTTCAGCTTGAACTACTTTCAGCATTTCTTGCAAGACAGATAGATCTAGTCATGATTAACTCCTTCAGATTTTGTTTGGGAAAGCTCCTTCGTATCTGAAGGATAACTTTGCTAGATAAAGTATTCTTGGCTGGCCATTTCTATCTTTCAACTCTTTATGTTGTCATTCTACTGTCCCCTGGCCTGAATCTGTAGAGAAGTCTGCTGATAGCCTAATGGTGGTCCTTTGTAGATTCCTTTTTTTTTTTTCCCTGTGTCTGCCTTAATGTCTTAGAGAATGTCTTTTTGCATTGAGATAAAAGGATGATCTATTAACTTTATAGACTTGTATGTCCAAGTCGTTCCTCAGGTTTTGAAAGTTCTCAGCTATTATTTGTTTAAATTATCTCCTTGCCCCTCCCTCCTCTCTCTTCTCGTCTGGAACCCTGATTATTCTGATATTTGTCGTTTGATAGATATCCATAGATCACATAGGCTCTCTTTGCTCTTTTTTTAAGTTCCCCCTCCTCTTTTGTGTTACTTAAAAATTTCTAGCCTCCAAGTCAGTTATTCTTACGTCATATGCTCTGCTACATATTCTCTCTATTGCATGCTCTCCAGCTCCACAATTTTTATTTGGTTCTTTTTTATAATTTCTTTCTCGTTAATAGAGAATCATTTTGTTCCTATATTTTAGTCCTGACTTTATTGAATTGTCTGAGTTTTCTTGTAACCTGTTGAGTTGCTTCATAACATCTCTTTTAAATTCTTTATCAGATAAACTGCAGTATTCTGTGCCTTTGCACTTGATTACTAGAAATATGTAATTTTTATGTGATGCCATGTCTCCATGATATGATTTTTCATATTCCTTTTAGATGTGCATTGTTTTTGAGATAAGTAGATACCTTAACTCTTGTTGTCTTCAGTAGATGGTATGTTATATTCCATAATATTGATGTTATCTGATTTTCCCCTGTTTTTGTGAATTTGTACCTGCTGCAGCTTCTTGCTCCCTCTGTTGGGTGAATTTTGAACCTTTTATGTCCTCTCTGCTTCTTACAGTGGAGCAGGCTGGCTATTAGAAACCGCAAACTTCAGCTGTAGTAACCTTTGGGAAGACAAAAGAGAGGTTTCTGAGTATGGTGTCAGTCTACTAGAGCTTTATTTTGCAACAGCAGCTGGGAGCCCACATAGAGTGGGGGAAAGTTTGGGTTTAACACTGGGTGTGTTGGGGCGCCCACAGATCCAGTAGGGTGATCCCAGTGGCTCCTTGGTGGTCATCTGCAAAAAACAATCCCTTTACCATCAGTCGAGGTTCTTACCTGCATGTTTCGTAATATTCTTCTTACCCCCACCCCAGCTTTAAAACTCCCATCTTAGTACTCCAAGTGCTAGTGGAGAGAACAGATATCTCCAGCCCCTTCCTCCAGCTGGGAGAGCTGGGCAGTCACTGCTTTCCTTTTCCCCTGCAGGACAGGTCTCCTCCACCAGGTAAATCCTCCCTTTTAAGTGTTGCATCCTCCCTTTTAAGTGTTGCCTTGGGCAGAGGCACGGTGCCAGGAAAGTTTCCCTACTGCCCCTGCCTCCACCAAACTTGATGTTTTTCTTTTTCTGTCTTCACTTATGTGCTGGAGTCTCTCTTTGGGAAGACTAGATTTCTGCAAGTTCTCTGTCTTTTGTGTGAGTGTCTGCCTGGGTGTTCATTCACCCAGTTTTTGCCTGGCCCTTTTGGTACCCCAGCTAGAACAGGTTTATTTGTCTCTTACCAGCTTCATGGTGGATAAGACAACTCCCGGGTTCCTTGGAGTAAGATAAGAGGTCCCAAAACACCGCAGAAGTACTTTTGTTCATGGATGAGTGTCTAATTCATTGATTTAAAAAGGAATAAATAGGGGGAACATTTTTGGCCATCATGTTGCTGATACCTCTCTCCAGTATCATCAGGTTTTCACTTCAGAAAGTTCACTTTAGGTGCAGGTTAAAGAAGAGACGGTCATGGTCAAAATTAGAAGCATGAAATGAGGGAACATTTATATAACTCTCCTCCATCTAAAGATAATGCAAACATTTGATATTATATATAGTATTCTATAATTTTTAAAGTCATAGTATTGGTCTAATAGATTTTTCCAAATGGAATAGTGAAATGGTGACTACATCCTATTAATTAAGCCTACAAAGTAATATTACAATTAAGAAGTTAGGAATATATGAGGGAAATTTTTAAATGTTATGTATTTTAAATGTTACTTATTTATCAATAATGGCTTTTTGAATTATTATAAATATATTGCACTGCACTTTACAAAAGAAGGGTGCCATTTATACTCTGCAACTTTAAAAGTTAATTTATTTCAACATAGGATATTTGCTTAAATATGGTGTCCTTTATATATAAAATGGAAACGTACTTAGAAAATATAATGTTGCATCTAAAAGATTACCCAAGATTATGTAAGAGTATGAAAATACCTATACCCTTGCAAATTTTCTTTCAATTAGAGTTAAAAAGCAAATGCTAGAGCTACTGCAAAATCTAACTGCCCTAGCAGTACGTACAATATACTGCAGAAATGGAATTGACCTTTGTTATTAATAAAGACTTTTCATGCATAGTATTACTGAAACCTCATTTTATTAAAAGTAGGGAATGATAGTCTCACTAAATGCTGTCTGACTTTAAAATTAATTCTGTGAAGCCTAGTAGCACTGATTAATGTAAAATATATTTCACTTTAACTGGGTAGTTGAAAACAAAGGCATTTTATATTGCAGTAGCATAGAAGTCTCTAATTCCATACATGCTTCATAGAAACCAAACTCTAAAATTAAAATAATATCAGTAAGTTTATTAGATTGCCATAAAGATTTTTAATGGTTTCTTGTATCTGTGTATTTGCAGATCTTAGTGTATATGATACTTCCCTTAAACGACAATGTACCCCACTAGTTAGAAATGACAAAATGGTTTTGCTAGCCAAACCTAACAAGCAGTCTAAAAATGATTAAAATGATTGTTACAGTACTAGATTTTTTAAGTAATTTGGTTATAAATTGTTTGAATAATAGTATATAGTAAATGCAGATTATTTTGTAAAGTGCTATTTTAATGGTACAGGGGAATTTGTCACTTCGTGATATTTACTATTGATTCCATCTAAATGTAAACTTAATGTTCACAGCTGAAAAAAGAATCCAGGTTTTTCTAGACCATGTTTCGTTTTGCCTTAAAGAAGGTTATGTCTAAATTTATTCTTTAAAAAGAATAAGCACATAGGAAGAAGTATTACTGCACACGGGTTGAACATTTGAGCTTTGAATTCAGATTGCTCATATTGCCTCCAACTGGCTAGGTGACAGGTCACGAACATACCTTAACTGTTATTGCTTCATATAGAAAATGAAGATTCTAATAGTAACTACCTTACAGAGTTGAGAAAATTAACTGAAGTTAAAAAGTATAAAATATTTAGGATATTATTTAACAGAGAAAGCTTTCTTATTACTATTAGAATTCTTTGGCAACTTCTATGTTCAGTACGTATTCATCTTAAAGTTATTAAATTGGTCAGTTTATTAAAAATATGTAAAAATGAAAGGATATCCCATAATTTTTTCTCTAATCAGTGTTTTTTTGTTTTAGGTCACTTTTCACATTGAACCATATAAGAATCGAGATGAGCAAAACATGTACACAAATGTCAAATACATTATAGATAAGTGAGTTCCTTTTATGCTATAATTACTATTACAAGTATATTTAGATTTGAATGACTGACATTTAAACTAATTTTATAGTGAACATTGCAATCATTTTAAGGAACGTTTCTGAATTTCCTTATAATACAGTTAAAGGTTGCTCTTTTTATTGTTTTATTAGACTATGATTCTGTTATCTGACATTTTAAATTGATATTCTGTAATCTTATGAAAA